GCTTTAATGTTTCCATACCTTTTCTGAGACAAAAAAAGCAAAGATGTTTGGCAATTCGGACCTTGGTTCAAATTCCTTCAGTGTTTATAAACATATTTATTGACAGTCTCTTTCAATGATTCCCCAACGATAAACTTGTATGCAAGCAAAATTCCTTTATTTTAAATTCCTTTGCACATGATTAGGTATTATGTGAAAAGTGAAAATAGCTTCACCTTATTCATTAAGAAATGTGTACATTCCCTACTTCTTTATTAAATCAATACCAACTCCGGGCAGCAGCAAACATTACCCTTGCAGAGGGGCCTCCCCCACACTGCAAGGGATAAATACTCATTCAATATTAAGAATACCTAGTAATATGTACCTTACTAATCCGTCCCACATGCTCCCTTCCAGTTGTGCGACCGCTTCCCCAAAACAATTTCCCTTTGCAGCTCCTCTGGTCAAAGTTCTCTGATGTCATCACATACAATGCAGAACCAACAGTCCCACATGTTACGTGAAGATGTTGAGGACATGCCTACATCTTGGGAGGTCAGAGAGCAGAGAAGAGCAAGGGCTGCCAGGCGAACAAGGATTAAAGTAAGTATTACTTCTTATTCCAACTCCCCTAGATAAATACAAGCATTGTCATTTTTACTGCTGACTGGAGTGTAGCATTTTATCAAATCCTTCTGTAATATATATATGTAATATATTCACCATCCCGTTGCATTTCAATATTTCTATTTGGATTTGTGTTATCTGCAAAAATGGTAACGTTCATTTCTATTTTATCCACCAGTTCAATAATAAAAAGACTGAAAAAGAACCCCAAAAACTTGCCACACTAACAGTCCTTGTGTTTCCCCAGTGTACTCGATTTTGAATATGTTCTGTTTACAACTACAATGTCTGCGTTCTGTTCTCTAACCAGTTCATTACCCACGTACAAACATTCTATACCCTGTTCCTTGTATCCTCAACTTATTCATTAAGCTTTTATGAGGGACAGTATCAAATGCTTTTGCAAAATCCAAGTAAAACACAGCAACATTTCTAACACCTAGATTTAACCACCTGCTGTCCGGCCATTGTAATTAAACGGCTGGACTGTGGGTGGGCGTCTTTAAACGTCCCGTCCTGCTTGTGCCGCCGCTAGGGGGGCACTCTGTCATATAAATATCCACCCAGCTTACTGAGTCGATAACATGGCCCTACTGCTACCTGTTTAATCCGATCCATCAATTACTGTGATAGGTGGCTTCACTTGTCAATAGAAAGGTTTAGGAGGCAAGAGAGAGCAAGACCACATTCTCCAACCTCGAAGCTTCATTGATATTAATTTAAGAACGGTCTAGGATAGGGCATGTTAAAGGGTCTGAATCGGAAAATAGACATGTAGGCACCAGTAGGTGTCTGCTATGTCATGCCAGAAGCAGATAAGAACTTTGTCCTTTAAGTTTCCTTTAAGAAGTTGTCTCTGTGTATAGGACATTGGCAGATCCATGTGCTAAATACCTGGTTCCTTTCCTGCAGATCTTGACTGGGAAACCCATGTGCTTGATCTCATGTTCCTGTTTACTTGCTTCTCCTTTTTAACCCTATTCTGCCTACTGACTTTATATTTGATACCTAGCTGTCGGACCCCTTTTGCTGACCTTAACCTGTCTACTGGTCCAGTAGTTTGCGTTCACACAATGATATCAGTCTGCCTCCTGATCTTGCCTGCCTTTGGGGAAATCCTTACATCCAATCTTACCTGCAGCTCAACAAAATGTCCTGATGACAATTACCAGGTTGTCTACCTATACACTACATTTCAAGGGATGATCCACCTTTGGTGTGACAGGGTCAGCACAAACTACAGTTCAGCTATTTTCAAAAGGAAAATAGATCATCTCATGGGAACCAGAAGATTAGTAATGTTTTGAAGTCTGATTAAAGAAGAACTCCAGGATTCTTTTTTATTAACCCTTGCATCTGGGCTACCCCTTGCAATCTGGGCTACCCCTTGCACTGCAAGGGTTAAGTGCTCGTTTGTGTCTAGGTTAACAAAAAAAAAGAAGTTATACTCACCTGAAGCTCCAAGCCAGCTTCTCCTTAGACCGGTCTTTCCAATGTCTTTCCCTCCTTCTGCAGCAGTGTAAGGTCCCGTAAATCATTAACGTCTATACACTTTGTATAGACATGAGGACGACGATGGGGATTCCAATATTGCATGGAGGGGGAGACAGGCTGGGGGGAGTGCTGTGACAACTGACCGGCTTGTATCTTCGGGTGAGTATAACTTTGTTATTTTAGTACCTAAACACAAATGAGCACCTAAACCTTGCAGTCCGTCGGTAGCCCCACTGCAAGGGTTAAGAAAAAAAAATTCCTTTAAAGTTGCAGCAATGCATGCATGCAGTAGAACCATTAGGGGGTGCCTAATCTTGGAGTGGATTTAAAGCAGACTGTCACCTTTCTTTTATGGCTGTCTTGTACACTATAGCACTAACTAGGTGATTGGTGTAGCAGTTTTCAGAGAAGAGCCTGCAAGAAAAGACAGGTCTGGAGACCTCTCTAGACATAAGCTTATGCACATTCAAGTTCACATTACATGAATGACAGCTTAATATCCAATCATTTTACACTTCCAATGTTCTGTTCAAAATCTACATAAAATATATTTACATGTAAAGTGAACACAGCCAATTATAACATTGGCTATAAAGCGGGATTAGCTTTCTCATTTTAATAAAAACCATACAGCAAATCTGCTTTAAACAAGTACATTAAGAAAGGGTTGATGTCACTTCAAATTCATGATAAAACTCTGAGATTTGAACATTATAAGCGCAATAAAAGAAAATGGAGACTTATTTACAGACACATCTCTATATGTCCTAAAAGCATCCAGCAGTTAATTTCCGACCGAGACATTTTAATGCATTTTTAAAGCGCTCATTATTTCAAGATCACGATAAGAATGCGCCGTTTGAAGTCTACCGCCCTCATTTATTTTGGTTTCCCGTCCAACTCTATACCTTGAGCACACAAGTTTATTAAATGTGGGAATGTAAATGAAACAGATTTTTTTCATTAGTTGTGCAGAGAGGACTTGGATCCTTTGGAGTCACACTTCAGTGATTATTGAAATGAGATGAGATTTTTTTTTTTGTTGGTATCTGTGTTTCAGACATGAATCTGTAATAAATCCTTTTTCATGAAAGCTTGGTGTTTACGGGGGTGGGTGTTCCCTATTTGCGGCTCTCATAATTTGATAATATAGTTGCTGATTAATAAAACATGAACGTGGCTGGGGGACTGATGTATTCCAGCCTCTGGGTTTGGATACACACAACAGAGGTGAATCACATAGAGCTCACTTACTTCTCTTTAGTTAGATAAGAATTCGAATAAGTGGCAAGCACAGACTTCGAGGGTGTGTACGCAATAGCTAGGGCCACCAGCACTGCTATTTTACACAAATGAATACTTTTTTAGCTAGAATTTTGCCTACTCCATGTTCATTACAGCTGCAATCTCATTTGGCCATTTCACCAGGTCCATTGGACAAGTTAGCATACACCTTGCACAGTTTTGTGTCTTGATCACATTGATGTACATTCAGCCATGGAATATGAACACTGAAGTGGAAACCAGGTCAATAAGAGTTTATTTGTACTCTGTGACCCCTATAAAGCAGTACAGAGGATATACCTATTGCTGACTCCTATGTGTCGAGTTAATCACACACTACCCTGCGATTAACACAAGCTATATCGCGAAACACACCTACTGTGCGTTACAGTGCCGCAGGTGCATGGCGTTGCCATATATTAGAATGGCGCCTCAACACACTTCCCAACCACAATGCGCAATGAGTGATACCACAATACTATGCATTGTGGTGTGGTGGAAAAAAAGTGGTGCATGCTGTTAACATCAGGAAACTTGCAGTTAAAAATGTATTTCGGGAAATCAAATTTGATTCATTTTTATATTTGATATTGTCCTGACATTTTTTTTTTATACATTGTCCTGACATTTTTTTGTACTGTAGTGTTTTACAGAGAATAAAAATACTAATCCCATCAATACCTGCCCCAAAGGAACGTTGATACCATGTCCTTTCAATTTACAAGCCGTGAGTTGCCTCACCATGAGCACCCTGTTTACACCTCACCCCCTAGGGTACACATAGTACACAATTACACCTCTCCGGAAACCCTATTATTTTCTGTTTTTCTACTATGGATACCATGTCCTTATGCAAGTCATTAAAATCATATCAAAGGCAACATGTTTTTAAGCTATTTGAAATGCTGATGAAATCACCTACAATGGACGCTGCTTCTTGATATTTAAAAGCTTTAGATTCCTGCAGAATCAGCTGGTTCCCTGAGAACTGGTCCTGATATCCTGTTGTAGGGTGGCTCCTTTCCCTTGCAGGGTCCCTATGAAGACCACCTTGTGTGCTAATAAGCTGTGTGTGTCCCTACAAACACACAGGCACAGCAATGCAAGACACTTCCTTCTCCCCCCCTCCTCTTCCCCCCTTCCCCAGGCTAGTAGATGGCCAGCTGCTGGAGACTGCTCTATCCCTTGTGATCTTGTACTGGGCAGGAAGTTCAGGGAAGCTGAGCTGAGAGAGCGGGAGCCAGCTGTTCAGAAACATAAGGAATGCAAGTGCACATGCAAAAATGTAAATAATTACTTTGTTGCACTATGTGTATTTATTTGATATGGATTCATTACCAAAAAAACCTTTGGGAGTTTAATACTACACAGTAGTCCAAATATGGATGAAAGTCAATTATTCTGACAATTGGTTTCTGGATGGTCGGAAGAAATCTATCCAAACACATGTAGCTCTTGTAAACTCGATGCTAATCGTGCCCTTGGTGGAGAGGACTAAAAATTACCATCACTGCTGTGCAGCTTAGGTGTAACACTCTGTGTTAAAGGGTAAAATACATCATTTTTGGTAAACTAACCTTCAATTATCTCTCAGCTAGCAGCTTTGTTCGGCGTCATTCACACTGCATTAACTCCTGCACGCCCATATCGGGCCGTTCCCGGGAGGGACAGGTGGTGCATGTAGCACCACCTGGGAGGACCGGGCCGTACGCTGTCATACGCACACCCGAACTGCACAGCCGTGCGGGTCCGGGTCTCTGTACATGGACGCAGACAGGATGGATCTTGTCTGTGTCTGAGCACGGATACCCAGACCCGCACGGATGTGCAGTTCGGGTGTGTATGACAGCATACAGCTGCGTCCTCCCATAGGGAAGAACAGGCTGCTACACGCACCAGCTGTCCCTCCCAGGAACGGCCTGAACAGGCTGCTGCATGCAATCACACGCAGCACCTGTCCCTACCGGGAACGGCCCGAGTTAACGCAGTGTGAATGAGGCCTTAGGGTAGAATGGAATCCCCCATTTTTGCAACATTTACTCCAGAAGACACAACACGTCATTGTGGTTTATTACAGCAGCTTAGTTAAATTCAGGGCCCGTTTACACAAGCAAGTTGCGCTCTGAGTATGATGCGATGTACAGTCACTGTGCTGATGAATCACACTGTTTACTTTTTTTTTCTTAGAACTTTATTAAAATGCCACAAGTAACATTTCATGAAGTTCTATTGGCACAGCGTGGTGCGTTGCGGTTGTACCGTGTTGCAGCATGCTATACTTTTGTCAGCACACAAAACCACAACGGGGTGACGTAAACTGTTCCCATTTAAAACAAGGCAAATTGTCATGTCCATTCATTGTGGCTGCGCTTCCAGCATGAACAGGCCCTCAAACATGCAGTGAAATTATACAATCTCTTAGCTCACCTTTCCAGTTATGCAGCATGTGTATGGAACTCCACACGACAGAGGTCCGGTGCCGTTACATGAGTGATATGGATTCACCTCCCAGTCTCTAAACTCATCTCCTCCACAGCAGGAAAACTGTACAAACATATAGAGCACAATTTCTGTGAGACCATATAAATGATGACTTTCTCAGGCAACAAATATACTGTATATACTCGAGTATAAGCCGAGATTTTCAGCCCATTTTTTTGGCTGAAAAGTGCTCCCCAAGACCAGGGGTGGGCAACTACAGCCCTCCAGCTGTGCTTTTACTACAAATCCCAACAGGCCTTTGCCTCTGGGAGTCATGCCTGTAACTGTCAGTCTTGCAATGTCTCAAGGGACTTGTAGTTCCACAACAGCTGGAGGGCCGGAGTTGCCCACCCCTGGTCTAGACTGTTTATAATCTGCATGGATACTGCATAGTAGAACAAGTTATCAGAGTGATATTTCCGTCATGTACACCTGAACCTACGGCAAATATTTCAATAACTATGGCTGGTCATAGAGAACTTGATAAAAGCAGGCACTGCTCTGACGCCCTGTATTGGTCCGGGGTTTCTCAGCACCTGAGGTACCCACTGCATCCAACTTCTATCGCTATTGAAAGGACCTGTCATGCAGACCAATGCCAATTGCATCAGAGAGAAAAGAAAAGAAAGGTAGCAGTGAGTCTCCTTTACTTGTCTCCCCAGTGAGAAATAAAAATCTCCCAATACTTAAAGTGATATTAAAGTCAAACGGGGTTATTCACAAAGCTGCTGAAGGCAGCCAAGTGAATAACCGAGCCGTAGTGAAGTGAGCAACAGCGTTCGGCTATTCACTACGGCTCAAGTCTGCCGTCGGTCACCCGAACATACTCTGCTTGTTTGGCTGAGCCGAAGTGCAGAAGGAGTTTGACTGTAAATCCTGACTAGTTGACATTAATTTTCTAAACCACTGTGGGATTGATTTTCTAAAAAAAAAAATGCTGTTCACTTTGGAAGGGAATTTGCACTTTGCAGTGGAAGTTTTCCCTTAGCTTGGTGAATGTGGTGAAATTTCACTGTGCAAAGAATAACCAATTCATCTAATTTGCCAAACTAAGGGGAAACTTTCCCTGCAATGTGCAAGTTCCCTTCCAAAGTGAACAGTCTATTTGCCATCAGTAAAACATTCCCAATGTAGCAAAAACAATCACCATTGCTTTAAAAAATATACACGTTTACATTGGTTTTCAGCATTTTTTGACATTCAGTGTTGCTGCTTTTCATACATGTGCTTCATTGATGGTTACATTGAACTTAAAAGGGTGACCAATTCTCCATCAGACGTCCATGTTAAAGTATGACAATGTAGGCACACAACTGGGAGACGGGGTCAGAGTATCATGACCCTATAAGAAGAAGTGCCCAAACATGAAAACTTCATGTCAGCATCACCAAGTATTATATTAGTGGAAACTGCAGATTTCAGAATATTGAAAATGACACTAACATGCCAAAGTTGATATGAGAATTTAGTGATTGATTTTACAATTACTTTAAACATTCATCACAGCATGTCCCTGTCGTCCAGTTGAGCTCCATTTGATGGATGAAACAAATGGCTATTTCAATACACATCACTGTTGTCATTAGAGCTGCAGATAACGATTATTTTCAAAATCGATTAGTTGGCCGATTATTAAGTTTGATTAATCGGTTAATCGGATAAAATAAAATACATTTTTTTTAAATGGCTTCAGTGATGGGACTACTAGTTTGTATTGAGATTGCAGTCCATCACATGAGTGAGCTTGGAGCGGTGGAAATAAAAAAGAAAAAAAAAAGTGTGGTGTGCAATAAAGTGAAATGAAAAGTGTAAAATTATACAGCAATGAATGCAGAATGACACCGGCTATAGAGGACTACAAAACCCAGCAATAGTACATTATACGGCGCAATGCAGAATACCACCAGCTATAGAGGAATACAACAAATACCAGCAATAGTACATTATAGCTGGCGGTGTTCTGCATTGCGCTGTATAATGTACTATAGCTGGGTTTTGTAGTCCTCTGTAGCTGGTGGTATTCCGCATTGCGCTGTATAATGTACTATTGCTGGGATTTGTAGTCCTCTATACAGCACAATGCAGAATACCACCAGCTATATAGAAATACAACAAATCCCAGCAATACATTATACATACAGTGTATAATGTATTGCTGGGATTTGTAGTCCTCTATAGCTGATGGTACATACACAGCACAATGTACCATCAGCTATACAGGAATACAAATCCCAGCAATACATTATAGAGCACCATGTGGGGGAAAGTGCAGGCTTATCTGAGCAGTCTTTCAGCAACTTGCTTCTGAGATCGCGCCTGTCTATCGGCGGCTGTCATCCTCCCACACCTGCTCCTCCTTACTTCTTCTCCCCGCGTCCCTGTGCCGTTCATGGATGTGGGCGGGAGGTGAGGCGGGGAGGAGATGCGGCGTGTGGATTATGGATGCGGGCGGGTCTGGCAGCGGCGATCGTAAGGTGGGGAGGAGGTGCGGCGTGCAGCGTGTGGAGCTGTGAATAGGGCCAACTAATTGGAAGCCGATTAATCGATGATTGAAAAAGTTGACAACTTTTTCAATCATCGATTATAATCGATTAGTTGTTGCAGCCCTAGTTGTCATCATGTGTGTGTGTGTGATTGTGCATGTGTGTATACGAGTCCCCGTGTGATCTTGTTTTTAAGAGTACCTGTACCCCTGTATTTTATGGTCTCTGAGGAAGGTATCTAAATGCTTTTTGAATGATTCAATACTCTCAGCTGATACCACTGCTTGTGGCAGCGCGTTCCAGACTATAACCGCTCTAACTGAAAAGAAGCCCCTAAAATATGTCCTAAAACGTATCCGATTCCTTTTTTAAAGGAACATTTTTATATTTTACTACAACTCCTCTGAGAGCAGTGTCATGAGTGGCAAGGCTCTCCCTATAATGAGGATTGCCTCAGGTGGCATATCGCTAGATCATGTGGATGGGGCAGAAGGCACATGCTGCACACCCTTTCCACCCATATCCTCCCAGGTTGTCAAAAGCTCTTTGCAATCTGTGACACTATGTTAGGCGTCTTGGCCAGCTCACTGACGTCACTAGTTGCCAGGAGCTGAGCGGATTGCCAGCCAGCGTGTCCCACTCACCTCATGGCAACCAGTGATGTCAGTGAACTAGGCATGACGCAGGACAGAGCCAGAGGTATCATCCACTGTAAATGGACCAAATAGGTAATCACATAAATGATAGTGAAGGTAGAAAATGACTGCATCAGCTGGATTACTTTAATTTCCTATAGATTAAATGGTATTCATAGCTGAACTCTATATAAATGTCAGCAAAGCTTAAAGAGATGGGTTTCTGATGGCATTTTAAAGACCAGATCCAGTTCAAGGATAACTGTACTTTGACAACAAAAAGCTCCATTACAATAAACAGCTTGAATTTTGTGTCATGGGGAAAAACACTTACCCCATAGTTCTCCTTTAAGGAACATTGCCAACCTGGCTCCTGAAATTTCCTTTTTTGGGAAAAGGTTTAAACCATATGAACAAAAAGGTGACTGGTAAGGCTAGATGGTTTGCCCCAACCCCTGTAACTGTCAGTTTTGCTGGATAGCTCGGCATACATGTAAATGTGTAGTCAATATAAATATAGGCATGTCTAATAAAAAAGGAATTCATATACTGAATACTATCATCACAGGTATTAACCACATACGATTACCAGAATACAATAATTTCCACTCTAGTTGGTTTTTAATAGATTCTCTGTACAATGCAGCTTGTAGTGTAAGCCTTCGTGATTGCTTAACTTATGACTTGTGTCAATATTTCCTATACTTATGGACTATTTAAAAGCTGTTGGAGAAGAGATGATTTCAGCTTCCCCCTGGAACAATCAGTATAGAGAAAACATTTTATTTTTGTATTGAACAGGAAACGCTAGTGCATTGTGTAAGGATTCTAGAGGCCATTGTGCTCAAAGCTCCTTTGTTAACATTTTCAGTCATGCTTAAAAGCTATAGATTGTTGTTTTTTTTTTATATAACCCATAATAGAAAATGGACAGTGTGGCATAAGAGGAAATGTGACTCACTGTTCCCGAGCAAAAGCTTCTTATAGGTGACTTATCTGAAGTATATTGTATTACCAGTAGGATATAGGCACCCATGAACAATATACATACTGTTCAATAACTTATATCTGTATTCTTTACTGCTATATACTGTATATGCTTGAACATGCAGATTGTACAATACTCAGGTCTTTTGTACATGACCGGAAGAGCACCCTCAGTGTACATCTCAGAGTATTTCTCTGGCCAGGAGTGACAGGTGCACCATACAGCAGTATATAGCCAGCCTATACAAATCGATGAGAGGCTGGCTGATGCCGTGACTGTATAGGAACATATGCAAATCCCACTGTTTACATGCGATCCGGGACTTACAGTACCCAGACTGTCTTTTAAATGCCATTAGAAACCCATCTCTTTACCTGCAGGCTTATTACAAGTGATCTTGGCGGCATCTGTCCCGAGCCGCAGGTAACTCCCGGATGTGTGGATACATGCTGATAGCAGTGGACAGACACGGCTCCTGTCAGCCTGCCATTGATTTGTGATTCCTGTCACAGAAATCCGCTGATTCTTGCCACAAGAATCTGAAGCTGGACATAAAATCAATAGAGTGAAGTGATCCGTGTGGCACACCGATCACTTCACTCTATCGATTTTAGAGTGAAGTGATCTGTGGGAACATAAGGGAGAAGTTCTGAATGACTCATTAGAGGATGGCCCCATCTCTGCTTCACTCCAGCAAGATCCTGACAACAGAAAAGTGACTGATGACTGTGTGACTGGCTATATTCTCTGGAAGACGTGCCATTTATTTCAAGTCTAATACTGCACAAAAAACACCCAACCCATATGAATTGACCCGCCATTGCTTTATAATATACACTTGACCTTTCCAGTCCATCACGTGGTTACTATTTTTACCGCAGATCTCAGAATAATTATGGAATGCCAAATATGTCTGAAATAAATGAACCAGCTTGCCCAGATGGATCACCTACACAAGTATTTGAATAAGGCATAAGAAATACCATAGCAGGCAGTATTAATCTGAGAGCCAGAACACTGTGACACATTGAATGGATTTCTTGGGTTCAGCTCCATGCTGGGAATGCATTATAAGGAAAATTACATTTTAGAGCCGGCTTTATTGGTAAATGAATGTTTCAGAAAGTTGTGCAAAGGCCATACGTATTTGTTGAACAGGCCCTTGGCTATAGCTAAGTTACACAGTACAAGAAGCTGCATTTGCATCCATTAAATTCGCTCTGCGTAATATTTACATGATTTTTTTTTCTTGCTCGTACAGAAAATACAAAATTGCACCATTGCGTTGTTTACTGTTCACAGCAATACACACTTTTTTCTATGCAACCACTTCTAACTTTTTTAGGTGTCCCCAATCTTGCTGTTGTGCTTGCAGTTATTCTTCATGGGGTCACAGCTCCCCCCCAACCACTAAACAAGCCTGGAGTTACTACTTCTGCCTAAGCACCTACCTCGACCTTCCATGTGCATGAAACACGTGACCCTCCAACCTACTGTGTATACAGTGTACATAAAGTGTATGTAACCCTCAGAATGAACTTCTCTTATTTGCTCCTCTTTGGTGTGCTAAATATACCATTGAAGGAGTTTTGCTATATCTGTTTGACAAGTGTATACAGCAGCTGCTGATTTAGCAAGAAACCTTATAAGTTAATAACTTCCTGTGCTCTCTGACTGTGCACAAGGAGGGGTTATAGAGATAAAGAGAGGTCTGATCTTTTTTAATGCATCAGAAATGAAGTAGGCAGGGCTGAGAACATGTTCTAAAAAAATCAGAGCTGAAAATACACATCATGTCAAACAGGAAGAAAGAAGAACATTATATTTCTTGCAGATCAACAGTTATTTTCCTGTACTTGCAGCGTGTTTAAAAGGATACTCTGCCCCCCGGCTATATCTCCAACCTCATCTCAAATTAATGCCCTAACCATCCTCTCTGCTCCTCCCAAGATCTCCTGCTCTCTAGCTCCCTCGTCAACTCCTCCCACACTTGCCTCTCATACTCTGGAGCTTCCTATCCTAATCTGACCAGCTGTCTCCTACTCTGCCTTAGGGAACCCCTGAAGACTCATCTCTTCAGGGAAGCCTATCCAGCCTATCCCGCCTCAACCTAACCACTGAACTATTACTTTCTCAATTAATTCATCCCCACACAGTTACTACCTCTTGTATCACTTGGCCTTTCCCTTTTAGAGTGTAAACTCTCACAGGCAGGGCCCTCCTAAGCATCTTGTCTTGACAGTACTGTCTTCCTAATATTGTAAAGCGCTGAACAAACTGTTGGCGCTATATAAATCCTGCATAATAATAACAACATATGGGGAAATGTGCATGTATTGCAGAGATGTACAAAATATGTTTCTTTTTATTTAACCTTGACATAAGCTTCACCAATAAGTATAACGGTGAGGTCACAATTTCATCACTGTGTAACCAAGCATGGTTGTTGCTGTCCTATAGCTAGATGAAGATTTTGTAAATTTGTAGTTGTTGTATTACTTGCATCATAGGCCACCACAGCTTCTTGTTGACTGTGAATAATTGCAGCACTGCATTATCATAATACTAGCAAGTAACATTTATCAGTTGTGTTGTAAGACAGCAGTTCTGAGATTTATGATAATTTGTTTGGTCCATTTATACATTTTTATTTCAGTTGCTGTCTGTGTTCCACTGGAAACATTTCCCTTCACCTCCTGTCCAAGAAACGTAACAGGAACTTAGAGAAAGCCTTCCAAAGCAGGGGGAATTCCCCTCTTAGACAGTTGACCCACAAAAAGGTGTCCCCTTTGGAAAATTTCCTCTTGTTCTGGGGACAGCTCTATAATTTTGGGTTTCCCATCACTTGGAGAACTAAAATAATAGATTACAATCTCAATAAAAATGAGTAAACTAAACATGAGCTTGAGGCTCAGTGCAGACCTCCTCGACCTGGGATCGCATGGTCCTGCACAATGGAGGCAGCAATTGCCGCGCAGCTTCATTGATTTCAATGGGGTGATATCCGTGCGGCAATCGCAGAAAAAAGGTACATTTACCTTTTTTGCGATACACGACGTGCAGCTGTTTTAGCCTCGATTGTGTTCAGAAGCCCGGACGGAATTGCGGAGGGAAACCGCGCGATTCGACCGGCACGACTGCGGTGCTATTAGAGAATAATGGCATCCACAGCGTGATCAGTTTACACCTAGGCGACTCCTGACCGCGCGGCAATCCATGCGGAATCGTGCACGATCTGGCACCTGGTGAGGTGTCGCCAAGGTGTGCACCGGCCCTGAAGTCTATCACACGAGCAGGCTTGTAAGAATGGAAGTTCAGTTTCAGCACCAATTCAGAGATGATTTGGTGATACACAAATAAGATACATTTTTATTAATAGTTAAAGTGACATTAAAGGTAACATTCCCCCCTCCCCTTTTTCTGCTGTAAACATTTACCTTATTTGATGCTTCTTGCTACAATCATCTTCTTCCTTCTACTCATTTCCGACAGTCAATCCAGCGTTGGTGCCCGTCTCTGATCCACCGCAGAGTCCTTGGGTCCCACGGTGCCTGTCCAATGGGCGCGCTCTGGCTGCGTCCATTGAGCTTCAGTGTCTGTTTTCTCCCTTCCCTTCTACTGCACATGCGCCAGCACACTTTTTCTTCATAGCCGTTCGGGAGGCGGGAGTGTTTCATCGGGAAGCGAGCGGAACAGGTAAGTAGTTAGGTATTTCACAAATTTTTTTTTTTTACTCATGGGGCATATATATGCTGCTTTCTAACAGTAGATATATGCCAAAAAAATAAGAGACTTTAATTATACTTTAAGATACTTGAATACATTTGTAAGGTTTAGCTCCTGAGTTTAGTGTCACTTTAATTAACGTCCCTAACTCTCTTTTAATTAGTTTACAAAATACACAATAGTGGATCATGACTTTTCAGACCTTGTCTGCCAATATGCACCAACCTTTTCTTGCACAAAATCCATTATGTTCTTGAAATCCAAGTCATCATAGTAATGCTTCATCCCCACAAGGATGTTGGCATGTGCAAATTTCTGCATCTGCAAAAAGTAAAAAAAAAAAAACTAAAGTAAATTGTAAAATGTAAATGTAATACACATAATCAATAACAATTATTCTAAAGACTGGGAAATACAAATATAATGGAATATACTTTTTGCTCTGTACATTTTTTAAAGTATCAGTCAGGGCTGTTTTCTGCAAGGATCAATGGTTAAATACACATTTGAAATACATATATGGAAGCTGTTCGTATCAAGAAAAGCCTCAATACTTTTTCTGTGGTGTTGCTGAGGAGCTTTTCATCATTTTGGGTTATATGGGAGTCATTGTGCCTTCCAAAGGATTCGTGTTTTTGTACAACCAATCCTGACATATACACAGCCCTGCCAGAAAGCAGACATATTTTGGCGACTTGACTTTATTGCATTTAGGCAAACAACCAGGTTACCTGCATAGCCCCCAGCTTTTAATTGGACAATGAAAGAGCAGCAGCTGTCTGATGAGGTCAACCATCTGCTCGCTCTGCTTTCTTTACCTGTCAGCATGTTCGTTGTCATCACAGAAGCACTATGGCACACCTGACTGGCAACTAATGCTACTCCTCTCTCTCCAAGCAAGGGATTACAATACCCTAAAAGCAAGTCTTATGAGGTTCTTACATTGGCTGCATTTAAAAATACATTTGATTATTTTAAAATAATTGAATAATTACAATACTTAGTATTTTCTTTTCATGTACCGGCAGTTCAGCTTTAAATTATGTTCATTTTGTAGGCATACTTATAAAAGATGTATCTACGCTTTATTTACTTTGCCTGAACAGTTTTCTTCAGGTGGTCAAGGGTCCCCTGAAGTTTCCTACCTTCTGAGTGTGTATAATGGTGTCAGATAACAGAGTCCTGTAGTTGTTTAACATGTATTTAAATGACAGGCTTCCATCATTTGATAATGTATAGCACTGCCAGGAGCTGGGAGGCAGTGAAGCCGATTGAGTACAGCAGATGCACAAGACTAGGGATACTCCGGCATGAGAATGTCTGTGCTAGGGCTGCAACAACTAATCGATTAAACCGATTATAATCGATAATGAGCAACTTCTCTGCCTCCTCTGAGGGGTCTTCTCTGCCTCCTTGAGTCCCCTCAGCCACACCCTGTTCCACCTCAGCCACTCTCCGTTCCGCCTCAGCCACGCCCCGTTCCGGTTCAGCCACGCTCTTTTCCGACTCTGCCCCGCCCCATTCCGCCTCTGCCACCCCGTTTCTCTTCGCAAGCAAATAAAGAAGAAAAAGACAAACATATAATGGAAAATATAGAAAATGTTATAGATAAAAAAATTTAAAAGCCAATGTACTGGAGTCATGGTGTGTTGCATTAGGAAGCTCTTTCAAAATAAATGGGCTGTTAATACACCTCAACACATAAAAAAAAAGGTCCTACACAATTTTTTTCATCATAGGGTATCTGATAGATCATATGCTTCTGCGCTGCAGTGTGTTATAACATAGGTATGTTGCAGCACATATATGTGCATTGGGGTGCAATTAAAGTGACACTAAACTCAGGAGTTAAATCTTAAAAATGCATTCAAGTACCTTCACTATTAACAGAAATGTATCTTATTTCTGTATCACTCGGCTGTAGATCCTCAAATCATCTCTGAATTGGTGCTGATACTGTCCTTCCTTCTGGAGGGTGGCTACTTTTGTTCACCATGATCCCTGTGTGTGTTCCAAACTTCTTTGATGGACTACAATCTCACGTTTAGTTTACTAATTTGTATTGAGATTGTAGTCTTGAAGCGGTGGCTACTTTACAACACACACAGGGACCATGGGGAACAAAAGTAGCAACCAGAAGGAAGGACAATGTCAGCGCCAATTCGGTGATGATTTGAGGATCTACAGCCGAGTGATACACAAATAAGACACAATTTTGTTAAAAGTTAAGGTATTTGAATGTATTTTTATATTTTACCTCCCGAGTTTAGTGTCACTTTAAATTTGCTTTACCACATATGGCAAAACACATATGCAGGAAGAGTGCAAGAAATTCTGCCTGTTATGTACACAACTCATCATTGGTCAGTGATTTAGTGATTGACCTATAGAGAGGCATGGGCCAAAGCACCATTATCCTAGTTGAAGTCAATGAGGCTGATTTACTAAATTATTTGAGATTGTTTATTCCTTAAACTGTGTGAATATTCACTTCAATTATCCAATCATGTAAAAATCCCTGTTAACTAACTTTATGTGCACATGTATGGATAATTGAAGGAAACATTCACAGAATTTATAGTGTGAACATTCTTAAATCTTTGTGTAAATCAGCCTGAATTTCTGCAGACTACAGCGCCCTGGTCTTCCATAGACCTGGGACATCTTAGTGAAAAGTTGAAGCAACATGCAGACACATGGAAGCACCTAAAGTGGCTGGACAGTAACTTTAAAATTGCAACAAGGACTGTCCCCTTTGTACATTGAAAACAGACACAATATCAGTATGTAACATTACATTCCCGATCAATAACATGCATAATCCTTTAGTATAGCGTAAGCCTGTTGATTTGCACTATTGATTTCTTTATTGTGTAATGGTGATGTAGTGTTAAGCGCCAGCTAAAGAGCTAATTGCATTTTGTTCACCGAGCCCATGAACAGCACGCTGACCTACATGTATTCGCTCAATACAATGTTCTATATATGAGAGAAAAACGGAGCCCGGGCATTGCTAGGTCCTTAACAATCTGTTAACTGAGTAAGTGAGAGGCAATTAACCTAATGTATAGATACATCTCCCACAAGAACTCCTTAAAAAGCAAAACAAGTTTTATTTTACTTTGTTGGCCCTCAACTAAAAGGCCAAGAGAGGCTTAGCAGTAAATCAATCAAACACTCACAGTTCTTTGGAGAAGAAATTGATTGTTAGATACCCAAGTATACAAAACAGTACCTGATGGGACTGAAAGTTTAAATTTAAAACTAGGGATGCACCGATACCGGTATTTCGGTATCCAGTACGAGTACCGATATTTTTTTCAGTACTCGCAGATACTGAATACTGAGTACCAGAAGTCCCATTCAGGAAGCCAGGCGAAGTGTAATTACTCGCCACCTGGCTTCCTGATTAGCCAGGAAGCCAGTCAGTGTGTAAAGACTCGCCACCCGGCAGTGTGTAAAGTACTCACCCAAATACCTGGCATCGGCACCGATACCGATACTAGTATCGGTATCGGTGCATCCCTATTTAAAACTGCATGTCTGATTTGCAATGATGTATGCAGCTACAAAGCTTATACTATCTATACTGTTGGGGCTCGCTAAAAGGTAAAGCAACTCTATGTGGTAAGAAAAGTCATTAATTGAAGTGATCAGGTCAGAGAGGTACTCAGAACTGTACAGAAACCTTCCATAATGGAGGTATAGAAGACACGTGAACAAGTTCTTCATAAATGAACCAGGGTATGCATATATAGATTGTAAAGAGTCTTTGATAGGAGGAGCTAAAATTTCCTCTCCTACAGAATGGCAGGTTACCAACAAAAAGAGCATTTTACAAATTAAAGTCCTGCCTGAAACCATCTGGATTGCAACCAAACAGATTAGTTTTAAATCAGAACTCTGGGCAAATCAAATCTTAACCCTTGTAGTGAGGCTTCCTCTATACTTCAAGGGAGCTAAGATAACAAAGTTATACTCACTCGAACCATGATACCAGCTGGCTCTTAGACTGCTCCTTTCAGCCTTGCTCCCCCTCCGCTCCCATGGTATAAGGTCCTGTGAGTCATCATGTCCAATACAGCGTATTGAACGTGAGGATACAGAGGGACATACCATCGTTGGAACGGAGGTGTAGACAGACCGGAGGGAGTGGTGTAAGAGCAAGCCGGGATTGCAGTTCAGGTGAGTATAACGTTGTTATTTTAGCTCCTTAGACAAAATGAGCAATTAACCAGGGATGCACCGATACCAGTTCAGATACCAGTGCCGATACTCGGCATTTTCACAAGAACTACCAGGGTTGCGGTGGTTACAGCTGGGACCTGGCTCTGGCACTCCACCACTGTCCTGAAACCATTAGTCTGTATTGTTTTAGAGAAACTGACACATGACATTAAACAAAAATTTATCAGTACTTGTACTTGGTCTGGAAAAAAATGTTATTGGTGCATCCCTAATATATATATATATATAAAGTCTAGTCTTGGATCTGGAAGAGGTATCAGTACTTGTACTAAGTAGGAGACCTTGGTATCTGTGCATCCCCACTGCAAGGGTTAAGATTTGATTTGCCCAGAGTTCTGCCTTAAGCTCCTGTAGGCGATGGTGAATTTTCAGTCTAGATAGCAAATGTTACACACACATCACTATGAGGCAGAAAGATCAGGAGCCAGATATACATCTGGTTGTTGCTGATATATTATATATCCCAACAAATATACCAGACTGACACACCAGGCATGCAGACTAATACCCCCATGGTTAAAGGGCCTTGAGCATGAGGACAGTTGGCCATGCTAATAGCATGATACCAATAGGCTTTTCAACTTATACCCCTAAAAAGTAGTGGAAGGAAGTTGTATACGCAGCCTAGATTTTCCTTCGCTTCCTGTCCTTGATGCAGAGCAGGAAGTAAGTTGAGATCTCTTCATACCAAAGGGAAATCCCCTCTTTGTTGTCACCAGAGCAGCTGCCCCCATTGGAACTTTTACCCTCACATTCTGCTCCTGTGACAATGAAAGAATGCTGGATTCCACATCACTTTGTATACCGAAGACAATGGTCAGAGACAGCAATACAAACCTGACAGAGGTTCTATCCCTCAAACGTACACTTTAATTACCAAAATAAATGAAGCAATGACATGGACTGTACAATTGCCTTCAAGATGTAGATTGGACTACCAGTTCCAATATACTGATTTTGTAATAAGGACACATAATATTTCATCATCATATCTCTGTCTCTAGCTGTCTAACAGTAAAACAATTCATATTATCAGCTCAGGTCTTAGGGTGAGTGATAGGAGTGTGGGTTCC